AGGGAGGTGGGAAGGGGGATCGGGATGGGGAATACATGTAAATCCATGGCTGATTCATGTCAATGTATGACAAAAACCACTAAAATATTGTAAAGTAATTAGCCTCCAACTAATAAAAATAAATGAAAAAACATATGAAACAAACAAAAGTTAAATTGATAGCTGTGCCTTGAACTAGCAGATTGTTTGAAAGTTTGTGTCTTGTTTGAATTTTACAAAGCTTATTAAAGTGCCTTTTGTTGGAATGGAAGAGAAAGAAGTTTTTGGTCTGCTGCTGGATTCCACAACAGCCTCTGCGTGGCTTTCTTGCCTCCTTTTCACGACTCCTCTTCCTTCTCCCAACCTGTAGCCATGACATTTCCCAAACCCCATCCTTTGTTAACCTTCCACTCTTCTCTCTGAACTCTCTCCACTCTGCTCACCTGTGCTTGAACTTCCTTAACTGCCCTCATGCCTTCAGGCTCTTGTCCTACACTGCAGCTGCCAGCGCCACCTACCGTCCCTTACTCTGCAGCTGTCTTTATCACCACCCTTCTCATCAACCAAGACTTCACCTGCCTTTTTAATCTCAACTCAAGAAGCTTCTCTGAGATTCTAAAATCATTGAGGGATAAGACTGTTTCTATCTAATTCATCATTGTATCCTCATTGGGTGACAGATAGTAGACATTTCATGTTTATTGAATGAATTAATTCACTTTTCTATAAAATTTTTGTGATTTGTCTGGTGGTGGTGGTTTAGTCGCTAAGTCGTGTCTGACTCTTTTGACCCCATGGACTGTAGCATGCCAGGCTCCTCTGTCTGTGGGATTCTCCAGTAAAGAGTATTGGAGTGGATTACCGTGTCTAGTTTATTCTAATCGTTTATTTTACCTTTGTTTTGGCCTGATTCTTCATATTTTGTTTAACTTATTAGCTTCTGAACATGTTTCTCCACGTGCCTTTTCCTGGCCATTCTGTTCCTTACTTCTTGATTCGTAATATCCTTAGAACAACATGGCATCATGAAGTATCAGTGCTTAAGGATTCTTTAGTTCCTGATAGAATCTAGTCTAAAATTCTCCTAAATCTCCCTCCGCCCCATTTATTTCTACTTCTCTCCAAAATGAAGCCTGCTGTGCAGCCGGGTGCACCCTCCAACCCTGAGTGTGCCCTGTCAGTTGTGCCTTTCCACCCTCTGTCCTCTAGTGACTGCTCTCCTCCACCGTCGGCCTCCACGGGCTCTATGAAAGCTGGGGTGCACCCTCCAACCCTGAGTGCACCCTGTCAGTTGCACCTTTCCACCCTCTGTCCTCTAGTGACTGCTCTCCTCCACCGTCGGCCTCCACGGGCTCTCCAAGTCAGAGTCGAGTTCCATCCCCTGTGCCAGATTTTCCTAATGTTTGATTCAGATGGTTCTTTCTGTATTCTGACCACATATGATGGTGATTGTATATGTATTGGGTTGGCCAGCAAGTTCCACTGGTTTTTAAGTAAAAATAAAAAGCACAGTTTTCATTTTCACCAAGAACTTTATTGAACAGTGTGTTCACAGTTTTGTTCCACTACCTTCTGCCATTTTTTTCAGGCAGCTTCATAATTCCATCTTCCCAAAACTTTTTATATTTTTGAGCAAAGAACTGTTGCAGGTGTCTTTTATGGTCTTCCAGGAAATTGAAATTTTTCCATTAAGATAATTTTGTAAAGACCAAAATAAGTGAAAATCTGAAGGTGCAACATCTGGTGACTCTGGTGGATGAATCAGAACTTCCCAGCCAAGCTGTAACAGTTTTTGCCTGGTCATCAAAGAAACGTGGTCTTGGGTTATCCTGATGCATATGTGTTTTCTCTTGACTAATTCCAGATGCTTTTTGTCTAGTGCTGCCTTCAGTTTGTCTAATTGGGAGCAAGTACTTGTTAGAATTAGTCATTTGGTTTTCCAGAAGGAGCTTATTATAGAGAATCCCCTTCCAATCCCACCATATACACAGCATCACTTGTGGATGAAGAGCAGCCTTATGTATGATTGTGGTGCTTCATTTTGCTTGCCCCACTAGCTCTTCCATTCTGCATAATTGCACAGTACCCACAGAGGATGAGATGGTTGGATGGCATCATCGACTCAATGGACATGAGTTTGAGCAAACTCTGGGAGATAGTGAAGGACAGGGAAGCCTGGTGTGCTGCAGTCCATGGGGACAACTGAGCAACTGAACAACAAGAGCAATCCACTTTTCTCTCTCCTGTCACAATTTGCTTTGAAAATTAAACATTTTTTTATGTTTCAGTAGAAAATTACCTGTGGAAATATGGTCAAGAAGGTGGTTCTTTCGCTCACTTATGTGGAACCCAAACATCAAAACAATCCACATAAACAAGCTGGTGCAAATGGTGTTCAACAGTCGATCTGGGTATTTTGAGTATGTTGGCCATGTCCTGCATGGTATAACATTGGAAGGGATTGTTCTCAGTTAAGGTCTCAGTTTGATTGCTATCAACTTCAACTGCTCTTTTCAACTGTGATGAAATCTATCCAGTGAGAAGTCTCCAGCACAGAAATTTGCAAGCCATTTTGACACTTCAGTCAGTCACAGCACCTTCTCCATACACTGCACAAATCTTACTTTGCATTTCAGTTGTATTTTTATTTTTCTTGAAATAATAATGCATAATACACAGAAAATGTTGCTTTTTTCTCCTTTTTTTCTCCCTTAATATTAAAGTGACTACACAGAAATTCAATAGTCTTGATTTTTTTAATGCATACTGATATGACAGCTGTCACAATACAGTCTTACAAAATTATTTCTAATGAAATTAAAGACAGTCAAGCACTACTTAGAGCCATCTTATGGTAAAAAAGTAAACTAACTTTTTTGCCAACCCAATATTATTATTCTTTTGGCCATTAACCCTCTGATCTTGGCTTTATATGTTATTTTGCCCTCGAATCATGAGTACCCTCAACAGCAGTTGTATTTGATATCATGTATTTTTGTCAATATCTACATAATACTGGCCCAAAGATAGTTAAGTTACGTGGGATTTAATGCATAAGTTTTGTAATGCCACAAAACAATTTCTGCAATACGTTTTCTTTATTCTTTCACAGAGTCTTCGGTCATCTATCAGTGAAGGAATGGGCAGTAGGTGAACGAATGTCTAAATAAGAGGACATTAGGGGGAAAAAAGTTATCCTTGAGTGTCATACTGTTAAACACAGGCTTATGGTAGCACCTTGGAGCTAACGGCACTTTCATGGATGCAGTGTGATATACTCCTCTTGGCATCTCTGCAGAGAGGAGTGTGGGATCTTCCTTTCTCTTTATGAATCAGCATTCAGCCAGGCTCCTGAGGGGTTCAGCCAGAGCTGGAGCCCAGGTCTTCTCACTCCTTGGCTGATTAAAGTCCTATTAATAAGAAGGGTGTGGTACATGAAAAGATGCTCAACATCACTCATTATCAGAGAAATGCAAATCAAAACCACAATGAGGTTCCATCTCACGCCAGTCAGGATGGCTGCTATCCAAAAGTCTGCAAACAATAAATGCTGGAGAGGGTGTGGAGAAAAGGCAACCCTCGTACACTGTTGGTGGGGATGCAAACTAGTACAGCCGCTATGGAGAACAGTGTGGAGATTCCTTTAAAAACTGGAAATAGAACTGCCATATGACCCAGCAATCCCACTCCTGGGCATACACACCGAGGAAACCAGATTCCATGGCTGATTCATGTCAATGTATGACAAAAACCACTACAATATTGTAAAGTAATTAGCCTCCAACTAATAAAAATAAATAAAAATTAAAAGAAGGGTGTGGTAAAGTAACTAATTGAAGAAAGACAAAGAATATTGCATATTCTTCTTGTGCTTTTATTAATGATAGCATTAAAAATTTTTAATGTAGATTTCTTATGCTACATGCCAGCTCAAAGCCTCATGTCTTCTCAACTTCTCACCATATGAAACTTTTTCCTCCCAAAACTGTTTCTATGCTTATGTCATGTTAACTATTTGAAATAAAGGAGAATTTTAGAGGTACCCAAATGAATACAAAATTAACCTTCCTCAATTTTTCCAGAATAAGACAGAGTAATAACTGATATCAGTGAAGTATTTTACAGTTTAACAGGCATAAAACTAATTTCTCAACACCCTTGTAAAGAAGATTTTCAAATTTTAGTGATTCAGGAGCAAGTAGGCCTTCTAAGACCAACTCTTCCAGTGTTCTGCTACAGGTGGAAAAACTAGTGTGTTGCTCTCTCATTCTGCCACATTTACTTCTTTTGTTTCCACTTCTTAACTGTACCTCTGCATGCACTACTTTTAATTTTTAGCAGTTTTATGTTTTGATTTTATTTTCTGACTTTAATGGATATAATATTTCATTATCATATAATATTATATATCCATTGTTATATATATTATAGTAATATAGTACATAATATATATGATATATCCATTATTATTGGATGTAATAGGATTAGAATTTGAGACAATTATCAGCTTTTGTCCAGATATTTCAAGAATGTAGTGCCTATCTAGGAAAGATTGTAAGCCTTGTGAGAGCAGGGACTTTTTGCCTGTTCTATTCATTCGTGTCCTCCCTGCCTGGAACAATGTCAGGTGCACAGTGGGTGCTCAGTAACTATTTATATATATTATTTTGTCTTTTTTTTAATTAATTTTTATTGGAGTCTAGTTGCTTTACAGCACTTTAGTCTCTGCTGCACAGCAGAGTGGATCCGTCACACACACATGTGTCCCCTCGTGTTTAGATTCTTTCCCATTCAGGTCACCACAGAGCACTGGATAGAATTCCCTGTGCTATACTACTGTATAGTTCTGGGAACTGGTTGTTTCATGAGCGCTTTATATCTTTCTGTGCTTTTAAGGGTGGGTTTTTTTTATAATGCTCAACTTCTTTGATAAGGTTATATAATAATGGCTTTAATGAACTGATGCTTAAGCGTATAATTGTGTCATATACATGTCAATAGGATAAAGATGATCAGAAGCTACAGTTATAACATGAAAAAGGGTCATAAGAAAATAAATGTAATACCTATAGAGAGGTTCATTTAAGATAGGAAAAGAAAGGAATAAAAGTGTGGGAAATGAGAAAACAAAAAGTCTAGTTTTCTCTTTTTTTAACTATAAACTTGCAGTAGAATATTGAAAATGTGCTTCTTCTTGACACCTAAAATTAAGATTTGCATTCTTGGGAATTCAGTTTTATGTCGAAGTATTCAAAATATAGAATGCGCTACATACTCTAAGTTGACTTTTTGCTTTGTATGTCCCTGTATTTAGAATGGGGAAATAAGATGATTAAGATGAAATATCGTGATAACTTTATTTTTTGCTTAATTATTATTTTATAGATATGTGTGTTGTGGCTTATACAGGTTATTCCATCAGTTTACAAGAAAAAAAAAAAAAAAAAAACTTGTGAAATTAGAAAAAGATGACCATTTTCTTTGTTACATACTGCAACTGTCTTCTTATCTTTCTAGTCTGAATTTTAAATCAGCCAGGTAGGTGAGTGACTCAGAAAATGAGTAGCTCATACCAGCACCATGGGAAGCACTGTGGTGCTGTGGACAGATTTGTGCTGAATATTCCACTGTGCAGCCTGAGCCATGGAACTCAACTCCTGGTGTCACTGACAGTGGAAGGCTAATGGGAACTCCTCTGGCAGGGCTGTCTGACCCTGAGGTGCCGTCAGCCCATACCTGGCATGTAGTAGGCCCTCAGTTCAGTTCAGTTGCTCAGGCATGTTCGACTGTTTGTGACCCCATTTGATGGGCCATCCCTTCTGACCCATCCAGGGGAGCTGTTTGTCTCAAACTGTTCCAAGTCTCTTGCCCTTAGCTGCCTTGGCAGCTCCTGCCAGCTTATCCTCACTCAACATCCACCATACCTGCCTTCCTGTTTTCTTTCCATTTTTGTCCATCCCTACTCTTCCTTTGATAGAGATGCGTCACAATGTCTTTTTCTATAATACTGTTCCTTTGTGATATTCCATCTTTAGTGTAATAGATATGCTGTTTCTTGCTCGGAATCACCTTCGAGGACTTTTTAAAAATTCAGATCAGCAACTTTGAGTTGTAGAGGAGCGAAAACCAGGGCAATGTAAATAACTGGGTAGAGCTAGAGAGAGGGAAGGGAAGTTAACAGTGAAGAAGGCCCTGAATGAGAGGGGCTGGGGAAGGAGATGTAAACACCCACACTGGCCTGGGCCAGCTCTTGCTTCTTGGCTAGACCCTGTGGTCGGGGCCTGGCAGTGTCAGGGGCTTATACTTAACTATTCTAGTTTTCCACTGTCCTAGAACATGCTGTAAAAGCTCATGGCACAAAGGATGCTATAGCTTCTACCTTATAACAAGGGGGCTATGGAAAAGCACAATGAAAGCTTCAGGATTGCTGATCATGTGATATATTCCTGGAAATTAAAAACCTTTAGGAATTAACTCTTTTTAATTGTCTCCACTAGCCCACTTTTGACTGGACAAATGTTGGAGAGAACTGCCACAGAATTTAATCAGTTACAGTTTCATGCTGTTCAAAGCAAAGGCTTGCCTCTTTTGGACAAAATAAGACCAGTAACTGTTGTTTTAGATTTTTCACACTTTAGTATTTAGGAATTTGCTAAATAATTTTGATTTTACCTGGCACAGGCAGACCTGGTTTTATTGCCCTTAGATTTATTGTGTTTCACAGATACTGCATTTTTCTTTAATTGAAGGTTTATTGCAGCTCTGCATCAAGCAGGTATATCACCATGCTAGTAACTCTTTTAACAGCACTTGCTCACTTCAAGTGATCTTATCTCTGTATCTCATTCTGGTAGTTTTCACAGTATTTCAAACCTCCACCAACAAAATGATGATAGCTTACTGAAGGTTCCCATGATGGTTGCATTTTTTAGCAATAAAGCATGTTTTAATTAAAGTAATTAAGGTCTGTATCTTGTTTTTTTTACACATAATGCTTTTGCCAGCTCAATATACTGTATATAGTTCAGTATAAACATACGCTTTATATCTGCTGAGAATCCAAGAAACCCCCATAACTGGCTTTATTGTTCTAGTAGTCAATTTATTGTGAACCACACTTTATTTATTAGAACCACACTTGCAGTATCGCCAAGGTATGCCTGTATTGTTCTGACAGTTGTTGATCTGCAGGATTTTGAAGCTAGCTTTGAATTTTCTCTTTCAGTTTTTGTTTTTTAGGCCCCTGCCTCCTAAGTGTCGCACATTATAGATTTTGTGTAAAGACACAGGCATATTCTCTGAGTTATAAGGGTAAAATTAATTCTAAATTTCATGTAACTTGACACACTATATGATTTAGTTAGAATTAATTTATCCAAAACTCTTGACTGGACTTTAGAATCATGATGTTTGTCAGATTTACTCTGTAGCTTAAAAGCACCTCATTCTGAAGTGATATCTAAATCCTCCTTTGATACAGCAAAGATTAACTTACAAAGAGATGTGAGAAGGAGGAGGAGAGATTCATTGTTCCTCTCCAGAAAATGTTAATATTTAATTTTACATATCTTCTGTTGGAATAAGAAATTTGTTATGTGTGTGTTTGGATCTTTAGAAATGATTACAACTGGAGCTTTTTAACCTGTCTTTCTTGCAGCAGATAGCTGGTATTACAGCCATGTTACAACAGTCACTGGAAGGCCTCCTATTAGAAGGTCTTCAGACTTCCCGTGTCAATATTATTTGGCACTGCTTACGGACTTACACCACAATTGACAAGACACGGGATGCAGAGGCATTAGTTGGTCAAGTCTTCGTGAAACTGTACGTAGATGAGGTTTGTGTACTGTTGAATAAGGCCTTCATTCAGCAGATGTTCAAGTTCATAGAGCATCTGCTCTGTGTTGGATGCTTTACTGGGTGTAAGGGGTAGTTTAGAGGCCTTTCTGTGAAGACTCTCAGTTACTGTAGTACCATCAGTTGGAAGAAAAGGTTGGTCCCTGGTGGTGACAACCGGCATGCAGGAGTCAGGCACCTTCTCAGTGTTTTTTAGTGATGCTGTAGCCCAGGGATCATGTTAATTTAGTGGGAGAAGGGTCTTGCCTAGGGAGAAGGAATGTATCAAAACATTTTTAGGTCAGTTTTATGGTATGTAAATTATTTGTCACTAAATTCTTAAAATGAATTTTTAACTACTGGTCTAGTAGGGAAAATGGAACAAGTAAGCAGATACCAAAACCGCAGTGTAAGTTCCTGGTAAGGGAGCCTGCTGAAACCCTGACCATGGAAAGTCTGTACTGAAGGTTGTCTTCACAGAAATGTGGCCTAAGTCTTGAATACTGAGGAGTCTCTTAGCCAGGAAGGTGGGAGGGAGGAAATAGTCATTGATGCAGGACTTTCATAGGCAAATTAGCAGCATAATACCCTAAGTCCAGAACTTGAATATCCAGTGTCCTTCATCTCCAAGGATGCAGTTAAACTTTGGAAAGTAAGCATATTCTGCCTTTGAGCAGCCAGGATGTAGACTGTACCATATGAAGTTGCCAATACTCAACGTTTTCTGGCACACAAAAGCGGCAGCTTCATCTGGTTCAAACTGGTGAAAGTCACAAGCCCATCCTCAGTGTTTGCAGACTCTCTCCAGTCCTCTGTCCATGTGGATGCTCTTCCTGTCCAGTAAACACAAAGCCCTGTTCACCGTGACTTTGGGATGAAAGCCTCCCATTTATAAATGGGGGACATGGAATCCCATTGATAACAATGAAATGTAAGGATTAACTCCAGTAATCCTTTCAGCTTTTATTAGAGTTACTAAAAATAAATGATCTGTCAGTTTCCTCTCTTCCTATCCTGTTATATTTCTTATCTAACTTGATAAGAATAAAAAAGACAAATTACCTACATTATTTCTGTCTCAGTAAGTGAAAATCATTACTAACTTATGCCTTTGTTTTTCATTGAACTGAACCTAATGTGCTAAATGAGAGAAACATTTGATGTTTCAGTGGCATATTAAATAAACCAAGGCCACATTTTAATTTTTTTTAAATTCGTATGCTTATCTTGTCATTAACCTCTTGACTGTCAACCTTAACACCAAAGATAAAATAATAAAATAAAATAAAATATATATTTCCATCTTTCTCTGTCTCACGCCTTCCCTTGATCTAAATTATGGTAGAAGAGAAGGCCGAGGTCAGTACATGGAGGGGCTGTTGTTATGGGAAATTGTCATTTTATTTTGTTTTCAATCTTGGTAGGGGAGGAGGCAAATGTGCTTGGCTTTCCAACTTCGGGCCAGTCTCTGTCACCCAGACTGTGTCTCCCCTGGGTCAGAGCTGTGCTTCCAAATCCTGAAACTAGTTCTGAGCATAGCTGTTACTATTAGAAAACATGTTAGCTGGGGAGGAGGGGGATTGAGGAAGCATGCTTTTGAGGCTTTCTCTATTTTTCCTGTAGTGTGTAATTCATACCTCTCTTTGAGATGCTTTTTAAAAATGCTATTCATTTAATAGGTGATTCTAGAGCATATTGTCGATAGTCATCTGACTGATCTCCAGTTCATGTATGATAAACTCTTGGAGTTCGTTCCCCATCACTGCCGCCTTCTTCGAGAGGTCACAGGAGGAGCCATCTCAAGGTAGTTTAAGCAGCTGTACTCAGAACTTGGGCCTGCTGATTATTGCTGCCTCGTTTGGGTCGGGCTCACATGCGCTCCCCTGGTGAACTGTTAGCGTGGCACTGTGAGGTGGGTGTGGGTCACCGCCTCAGAAGGAAACTGTAATGAGTAGGGCAGAGGTAAAGGGTGCATCTTTGTGAATTCACAACCCATACTTTCCCCTTTTGTGTACTTTTTCCTCAATTACATGTGAAATAAAAGTTGGTTTCCTTCCATTACTTTAATGTTGTAATCTGTTTATAAATTTGAATTCAGTGTAACTCAGCAAGTTTTATATTAATTGTGGTTAAAGTCATCTTCAGTTTTCCCTCCTCTTGCCTGATTTCCATACTTTTCGCATTGTTTCATAAATACCCGGCTGCGTTTCACCATCACCACTGGCCTGATCTGAGCCTTTGTCATAGTCTTATCCAGAATAACAGGATCTGCCCACCTCCTCTCCCTGCCTCCACCCTCTCCCTTCTCACCCATCCCCTCTGCCCTTCGGCTGTCACACTGACCCACAGTTCTGATATTTAGGCACTGCCTTCTTCCTAAGTCTTTAGTGGCTTCTTGTTGCGTGTGGAGGAAAGTCTAGGCTTCTTGATGCGGCGTACGAGGCCCTGTGCACTCCGGCCTCAGGGGTCCTTGTGTGTGGCGCTCTGTGGGCTTCCCTTGCTCCGCTGGTCCCCGGCACACATTTGGTGAGTCTGTGTTTTTCCTCAGAGTCCTCTGCCCTTCCCTTTCTTTTTGTTGATCTGTCATCCCGTGTGAAGCCCCAACTCAGATGCCACTTCCTTCAAGAGACCTCTCACCTTTCATCCTGAAGTCTAGCTTTCATCCTGTTCTCTGCAGGTGATTGCATGTTGCTTTTGCTTCTGTTGAGGACTAATTTCCATCTTAACAGTTTGCTCCCATCCTGCACAACCTATACTCCCTACCCCTGGCACAGTGTCTTAAGACAGCAACTATCCAATGTTTATGAAATGAAAGACTCAAGTCAATTTGCAGCACTAGAAAGGCAAATCAAGTCCCTTTCTTCAGGTTGTAAAAATTATTTTTAGTCTTGAAATTTTTTTCTTTGAAAAGAGAAACCAGAGGAATAAATTTGCTGATTGACTGGGAAGTACCCTCTCTGTTTCCACTAGATGATTTTAGATGAAGCTTTGTTTTGCCACTTTTGTGTAATAATCATGAAGATTTAGTTGGATTTGGATTTGGGGTAAGAATTTAATAGAAGTCATCATGTGAAATTAAAGAGGCCACAGTAACGAAACAACCAATCTTTAGATTTGACAAGCGTAGTCTTGGTCCTGAAATGTCAAGTTTCATGCCTCACATGTTTGTTCTTTTCCACAGTTTTGAGGGTGGCAGAACTCATGTAGAAAGCTCAGAAATTTGAGTATCTAGACTGTACCTTGGTAGGTCATCTGCCTTTGCTTCACGCCTCATCGTCTTGTTGCCCTGGACCCTCCCTTGCTCAGCATCTGCCTTTGGGTGCTCTGTATACCCAGCAATAGCAGTGACATTCAGGAGTTGTTTTCCAGAGGACGTAAATTAGCTTTTCTAACTGTTGATCTTGCAGAGTTAAATTTTCCTTTTGAGGCTTTAATTGTATATTTAGTTTGGAAATGAGGTGATCTTGTCATTCATTTGCTCATCTTGTGTGCATTTGTATTTTAAAATCTTCAATTTTGTTCTCTCTTCCTATACCTATTAGAGCTAGTTCTTATTGGGATTAAAAGTATATGATATGATACGTGAAATTGGGTATGTGGGACATAGGCATCTCCTTTCCCTCATCGAATATAAAAAAAAAAAAAAAATTACCTTAATATAGAGCATGTTAACAATGCAGCAAAGTGGGTAGATCAGTGAGATGCTGTTGCCTAAAGATATTTACAGATTTTTAAGTAGAGAGAAACTTAAGGAACCCGCCTTTTTTATTTATGTACTGTGTATTTAACACTATTAACATAGCACTTAATATATGTTAGTAAGTGTTAAATGCTTTGCAAACCATACACCATCCTAAATGCTTTACCAATCTTATTCCATATAATGTTCCTATGATTTTAAAGATGAGGAAACCAAAACACAGAGAAGTTAAATGATCTGAGATTTGAACTCAGGTTCTGTGGCTCCTGAGAGCTTGATTTTATCTCAGTGTTCTCTCTCACCTAAGTGTGTGAATTAGAAACTCAGAATTTGGCCTTTTTGCTTACAATGCAAAATAAAGCATGTGCATATGAAAACCATGAATGTTATCAGTTTTTTTGTATTAAGATTTGTAACCTAGATTTTACATGAAATAGTCATAGAACATTAGACCTGAAGGTAATCAGAGATAGCTGAGTCACAAAGCTGTTAGTAATTGGTAAATTAGTGTGATTTACAGTGTTTTAGATTTGAGTGGTGTTAAGGTTGAATACAAAGATTGTTTTTCTTGTGGTATTAGATTGCTGCTTTTTCAAGATAGTGTATAAACATGGTAACCCATTTTAGGGGAGACAACTGCCACAGCTAGTCGGCATAGTTGTCCATTATCCTTGACCCCAGCTGTCTGCTATGTGATAATTGTAGGAGTCAGGACACAGAGGATGTGTCAGGTTCTAGGTGAGAATGAGATCAAGGAATGAAATAGAAGTTTGGACCTAAAAACAAAATAATTGACATAGTTTTTTTTTAAAGGTTGAAGTAAATTTTAGGCTAAGGAACTTTTAATAAAACATCACAATGGAATTTTGCTTTTTGTAAGTAAATGTTTCTGGTGTATTTGACTGAAATTTTTCTCTTATCTTACAGTGAAAAGGGCAATACTGTTCCTGGCTATGATTTTTTGGTGAATTCTGTCTGGCCAGAAATAGTACAAGGATTAGAAGAAAAATTACCCTTGCTTTTTAGTCCTGGGAATCCTGATGGATTTCACTAGGTAGCTTTCCCTCTGTTGTCTTGATTCTTGCAGTTGTTAACCTGAGATAGTCATGTCTTTTTTGCACAGTCTTGGTTCTGTGGTTTATTGAAAATCACAATCTGAGTTGCAGAGCCAGCATTTACCTTAAAAATACACACATTATTTTATTCAAGTCATAGTCTCTGATACTTTGGGGACTAAGAATATTTTTTAGAATGTAAGGTAGAATTCAGTCAAGAAGCAATTATGACTAGATATGGATGTTTTTATCTATGTTTTAAAAAAGGTCCTAAGGACCGCTGAAAACAAATCTCTTTACAGTTGTTTTCGATGAAAAATTAAGTTTGCAGATCTCTGCTATATTGCTTTGAAGGAAAACAAGAAGTAGTAATTGGATTGTAGTATATATTATATAACTAATATTATAATTATTAATGTAGTATAAAATGTCCTATATAATTTGAAAGATTAGGAGGCCTTGATATTTCTTTTTTTTTTTTTAAATCATGTTTTTTTATTTAAAGGACTTCGTGGTTGATATATCAGAAGTAAACCCATATGTTAATTTTCCCTCTTTTAAAGATGTCATGTAGTGTCCTGGAGAAGAATGAAGACTCTAGGCCAAATGGCTGAGTCTGCACCCGCTCTCCTGCTCAGCTCCCTGCTGCTCAGCCTCTTGGTGCCCCTCCTCCTCCTCCTGCTCTGGATTTTGATTTTTGGTTTTTTATTTTTTTATTCATTATGACAATCTTTGTCTTATAATTAGGTAATTTATTAAATTTGCAATGATCATAGTGATTGATATATTTGCAGTTTTTTTAGTTCTTCCTATTTGTCTCATTTTTCTTCCTTCTTTTCCTTTCTCTCGTCTTTTTTTTTTTTTGTCTTTCCCCTTCTTTGTATTGTGCACTTTCGGGAATTTGTTTTTCTCATTTATTCTCTTTTACCACTCTACTAATTTGGAAGTTCTGCCCTCTGTTTATTTGTGTATTAAGTAACCTTAGTGTTTACTTAACAGAATTTAAAGTTACTGGTGTTCTTCAGCCTCCCATACAGCACAAGAATCTTAGATGCCAATCATGTCATTCCATAGTATATATTAGTTACCAGGGTCTTATTTCTATTTTGATTTTTTTATGCCCCCCAATTGGGCATTATTTTTATTGCTTTAACATGGCCATCATCTGCCTCTCAAAACTATTCCACATGTTTATCATTTCCTTTGCTTATTGTTCCTTCTTGGATGTTATACCTTTTCTCTTAGATCATTTTCCTTCCTCCAAAAATTCATCTGTTATGAATTTCTGTTGATAATAAATTTCACTTTTTTATGATAAACCCTCAGTCAATATTTGTTTGAAAATAACTTTATACCTTTTATGTTTGAAAGGTAGTTTTGCTGGAAGTAGAATTCTGTGCACTTTGAACTTTGTCACTTGAAAGTAGTTGTTACTGTTGTTGCTTGGTAGTTATAATGGCTTTTTCCCCTGGCTCCTTTTAAAATTTTCCCAGTGACTTTGGTGTGCTATTTCATTATGATATATCTAATGTGGACTTCTTTTTATTTGCTGAATTTAAGATTTGTTGGGTTTTCTGAATCTGAGGATTGGTGGGTTTTTTTCATTTCTGTATCATTTTTATTCATTAACTCAATTGTGCTTCTGTATAATTCCTTTATTATTTGCTTTTAGAACTCTTAATTAATTATCCTCACTTTATCTTTCATGTTTCCTGAATTTACTTTTTTTATTTTTCATCTCTTTGTGCTGCATTCTGGGTAATTTCTTGGGACTTTTCTTCTAGTTCAAGAATTCCTTCTTCAGTTGTGTCTAAATTCCTTTTCACCTGTTTCAAAGTTATCATTATTTTCATTTCTAGAAGCTCTATTTGCCTCTTTCTAATTGTGCTTGGTCGCTTTGCTTACTGATTTTTAAAGTGTAGAGAGGCACACGGAGAAGGCAATGGCACCCCACTCCAGTTCTCACCTGGAGAATCCCAGGGACGGGGGAGCTTGCTGGACTGCCGTCTGTGGGGTCGCACAGAGTCGAACATGCCTGAAGCGACTTAGCAGCAGCTCAAGACAAGCTGAAAGGAATTTAACACTATAGTAGTCTTTACTGTACTACACTTCCCATGTAATCACAGACATCATATTTAGGTGATTGGTTTGGTGACCCAGAATAGAGCTTCTCTTAAGTGAGAAGTACATGGGAAATCCTGCAGTGTTCTCCCTAGAGCCTGGGGATTTACAGCCCTTGCCAAAGGATGTGTGCAGCTGCAGTTTTGCACTGCTGACTGTCTGGGCTTCTGGTTCCTCTATTTCCTTGCTTTGTTTCTGAGTAAATTCTCTCTGAGCCTTAGCAGAAGAGGAAGTGTCATCTCTATGGGAGATGATAATAAAAGCAGTTAACCTAGTAGTGTAGTTTTCTGGGTTAAATTAAATAGCACAATTGTAAACACTGTGCCCAGATGATATATGTTCAGTAAGTGTTACCTGCTGCTCTTAGTGAGGTCGCTAGATTCCCCTTATCAGTCTTCATGCTGTCCCATCTATAAAAATGATGTAATTATTCACATGGTTTGAGTAATTGCTTTCCTTTTCTTCCCTCCTTTCTTCCCTTTCTTTAAATTTTCTACTTCTTCTCAAAAGGTAGTGAAAATTATACCACTTAATCTGTGATCTCTCGTGGTTCCAGTGGACAGTTAGGGGTGCCCTAGAAGATGAGTGAGAGCTGTCACTTAAAGACTACTGGACTTAGAATACCTGGGTCTCTTGATGGGCTTGCCACCTAAGACCTTGAGCAAGTCATAGAACCACTTTGGGCATTACTCAGTGTGGGGATCTTCAGAGGAAGATCCTGTAAGGGCCTAATGAGATCTTAAACCTGTGATTCTCTGTGTTGATCTTTATCTTGATTTCCATTTTTCAGTATATGATCCCGATTATGGTTAGTTTCCTTAAAANTTTCCATTTTTCAGTATATGATCCCGATTATGGTTAGTTTCCTTAAAATGAAAATTCCACCTGTTTGTTCTTATTTTAGAAATATGCCATAAGTATGTATTTTGTAAGAACATTTGAATGGCAGTGTGGATCACAGGCCAGTGTAAAAAGATTAGGAGCACATCCTACCTATCACAGCTTCAATAATAAGTGGAACTTGCCTGTTTATTTTCAAATAAGGTCAGTAATTTATTCCCATCACCTCCACCCTTCTGAAATAGAATTTCAACACCAGTTCAGATGGAATGAACTCCATCTCACAGCCCCTTCTTGAAAACCATCATATTATTCCTTGGGAAACAATTTAGAGCAGAAACGCACAAGAAGTATCATGATTGCCAAAGTTCTGCCCTGTATGACATAAGGATTAAGTTTTACTTTCTTGTCATTAGCAAGCTGAGAACGCTGGACTTCAAGGGAGCTAGACCAGGCCCAGCTTCATTCCCAGGCGCTATGCCTTCATTCACCATGAAGAGACAGAGAGAGCTGGTCACCTAGCAGCTCTTCCTCTCCATTTTCCTCTTTCATCACTTGCTTCAAATAGCAGGCCTATCCTTCATCTGTAGTTTTGCTCAGCTATAACATTTTTATCCTCAGAGGGAATCAGGAAAATTATTCTTTCTTGAAATATTCTTTTTAGCTGATTCCATCCATCAATTTATAAGAATTGTAGGTATTCTTTTGGCTTCCTTTGTAATCTTGGTGAGTGTTCTGGAAAATGGTGACACTTTCCTTCCAGATAGCATAATGATATCACCAGTGTCAGTAAGTGGTCCTGTAGACAATTTGGGGGCAATTTAGGATAAATTCTTAACAATGTATGTTCCTCTAGAAAAAGAGATGATAATATTGCCATTTTTTCAGATTCTCTTGAGTGAGATCACAGTAAGTTCCTCCATAGAATGATGTTAACTCGAGCATTTTAGTTAGAATGGTTTTTAACAACTTGCCAGCTTTTTGTTTAGACTGCTGGATGCTTTCCTTAATTATGATGCAGTCCTTCCCTGGAGGTATGAGGAATAATTACAGAGAGGGAAATACATTAAATCCCTTGACTTGTAATTACTTGCCATGATTCAGAATGTATATAATCATCTTTTGATGATGAAATCTAAGCTGTCAGACTGTTAGCATGGTGCTCTTTTACATACAATACTGGGCTTTAATTTTTCAAGGTTATATTATAATGTAGGTATGAAATTAAGGATCTTTTTGTCTGAGATACTCATGGACTCCATGGGACGTAATCATTACGTGATGATCAAGATGTAGCCAGGACCAGAAGCCCTTTTGGTTTGTGAGAAAATTTTAAAATGGTGAAGCATCAATTTTATAGTTTAAGAGTGCAGTAGAGAAATAAAATTTAAACTTTCTGTGTCTCCTGTAGTCTACATTTTGGCTTAGATTGCTTTAGATATCTAATAACCATCACAGCCCATACTCCTGTTTACTGCCTCCAGATGCCTCTTATCTAGTCATTTCCCCAGACCCCAGACCCCACACTTGGGAATCTTGCACTGTCATGTCCTTCTGCTTTCTGGAGCTCTGGGCCCTGCAGGGTAGCACAGCCTGGCCTCAGCCTGTTCTCTTCTTTGCATAGGTTCTCTCAAAGCTGGTAATTGAGTCTTAAACTATGCTGAAACTCAGCCTGTCCCATGAAAGACATTTTTAATCTTCACCAGAGTTTAGTCATAAGCATTCAAAGGAATTGCTTAACTTTTTCTTTGTGAATAGCTTTGTTTAAAATTGATGAAATTTAAAAAGTTACATTTGAGTTATGACATGTGGAACCTGTTCTCAGTGCATTTGCTCTTCCACTTAAGAAGAAATTCAGGTACTACTTTGTAGAACACCATTCTGTTTATTTTTGTCAGTGGTTGGATTATTTATTCTCTGGGATAACAGAATGTTCTGCAGACATGGCTGGTGTCAAAGCTGTATTGCTATCTGATTCACTTCAGGGTCATTTAAAGTAAGCCTAAACGCCAGTAGGGTGGTAACGTTTCAGCAAATTTCTAGGAAGGAATATTGGTACTAATATTGCACTCTCAGTAGCAATCAGATAGTCCCGGGTCTGACTCTGTGCCGACATCCCCATCATCTTCAGGAAAAAAGGCACCCCTCCCACCACCTCCATTCTGTGAGCACACAGGCACCCCTTCTGTCTCTGGTACCCTATTGTGTCAACATACCCTATTGTGTCAACACTTCATTTGTTCTTCCAGGAGTTTTGGAAAGTAGGGTTAGGCATTAGTTCTCATAAAAAGAGATTAAATACACATGGGCCCCCAACAGTCTCAAATGGTAGTAAATCAGTGGCTTCCTGGAAGCTGGGTGTTAGTGCCTTAAATGCTACAGGCAGTGGTATGTCTTTTTTAATTAACTCTTGCTAGAATGGTGTATGCTCCCAGGGTGGTCACATGTGTGCTCTCTGTCTGCTCCATTCAGCACATGCTTAGCATGGTGTAGCTCCTCTACAGCATGAAGTCTGTGTGGTACTGATGTGCCTTCCTTCCCCTCCACCCTCCTCAAGTTTTGTCCATGCGTCAGTAGAGCCATGCATGGGGAAGGGGGTGTGTGTCTCTAGATCATCCCCATACCCAAATGGAAGAGTTTAGGAGTGTTTGCATTTGGGGTTGCCTTTCTTTACAAATCCTCTATCAAGAGTAGAATGGCATCCAATATACCTGTGAAAACTACAGCATAACTTTTCAAATTTCACCAAAGTAACATCTCACTTTGTTTATCTTCTAAGAAGAAGTACGACCTAACACCTCAATCTTGGAAGTTACTGGCCAGCAAAGCTACTTGAGGGGCGGGTTCTGGGCTCCTGGAAGGTAGGGAGAGGGGACAACTGGGTCACATGACATAGACAGTTTTAGTCTTAGGGATCTCACACCTGGTCACACGTCATCTGCACGTCTGTTTAAAGGCATTAATGTTAGGGGCCTGCTGCATTTGTGTCTTGCACTTTCTCCTTTGAATTGTTTTCAGATGGTTGTGGCATACATACAGTTTTATCCTGTGTCCTTACTTACACTGAGTTATACCTGTTCCTCTGATGGCCGCAGAACTTCCAGCTGACCTCTCTTCACGCTGCATTCAGTAGGAACTGTGCCGCATGTTACGGAAACCTTCCCTTCCTTGGGGCTGTCAAGGTGGCTTCTGGTTCTCCGCTTTCTGAACAATGCTGTGTTGATGTCAGGTCTTTTCTGTGTTGAAGCTTCCTTCCTGTGTTTCATGTGTTAACAAATGTGGGCAAACGGTGGGATTCGGGGTCTGAGGCAGATGCAGGAGCTGGTCTGCCCTCTTCACTGCAGGGCAGCCCCTGCCTCTCCTCCCCAGTGTGCTCAGGAGCACCGCCTTCTTTGCGCTTCTCCAGTGCTCCCTTCCCTTCCTCCATGGCTCTTCTGCCACTTGTTCCCTCCGTGCCTCTCCCTGCTGCTTGGAGAGACTCACCTCTCGCAGGCTTCGCGGGGCAGTCACTGAGTTCTTTCCTGCGTGTGGCACAGGGAAGCTGTGGGGAGCGGCCAGCTCCAGCAGGCAGGGCGGGCCAGAGTCCTCTGCTCTCAGCCGCTCATGCCTTTAAGGGCAGGGCTGCTGCTCTTTCTATGAAGTGCTGCTGCTTTTACTCTCCAGTTTCCTGAAGATCAGTCTCTGAACTGCTTTTAAAAAGCATATGAGTACTATCCAAAAAACTAAGATTATGGATTAGGTAAATTGATGTTAAGTATGTGTCAGAATTTATTGGTAGCAAGGGAACTAGTGGGTGACAGAAGAATGTGTGCTAAAAAAGTATGAACATGGAAGGGTTATATAGGTGGGAAGGAGGATGCTACATAGGCAGCTAATTAAGGAAATAAATACACACACATTTCATTTCACAGTTGTAAAAATGTGTCCACATCAGATATTAAAACAGAAGTCTCTGAGAAGATGGTATGAAATGACAAATGGCCCAGCAGAGAAAACAGAAAACCCATCCAGAAAGCAGATCCTGAGCCTCAAGGTGGGCATGCAGTTACCAATAGGAGCACAAGAGACAGGCAGCAGACATTTGATGAGCGCCTGGCAGAGACTTGTTCTAGTTTAACTGCCTACTTTCAGTGATATGTCTCACAGAATATAGCTTCTCCATTTCTTAGTTTGAGGAACATTTGCTTCCTTCTGATAATGTGGAGGTAAGAGGACTGGAAAAACCAGTCTTACAGCCCTGAAGTGATTACCTGATTATAGGTGGTAGGACTTGCCAGAAATGGCTTCCTGGTCAAGTAATTCAGATAAGTTTATTTCCTGCTCAGTAAGAAAAAAAGTCTGGAGGCCAGGCATCAGGGCCGCTGGGGCATCTCTGAGGCGCTGGCCCTACAAGCAAGCAGGAGAATGGTCCTATTGCCTGGGGAGGGGGAGGTTGGGGGGACAGGCACCTGAAGCAGAGAAAACAGCCATTTACACTCTTGTTTTTCTCTCAGATTTAGAGAAATAGCAGGATCCATAGAAGCAGCAATTACAGATGTCCTGGAAGATGCACCAGGTAACATCCTCAGAGTGACGCAGGCTATCATTAAGTGGGTTAATTCCATTCACCAAGTCTTCTTGGTGGCCTTAGCGCCCTGGGAGCACTTTGACCTTTTGCTGTCTTCCAGTAATGTTAGTTGCTCAGTCGTGTCCAACTCTTTGCAACCCCATGGATTGTAGCCTACCAGGCTCCTCTGTCCATGAAATTCTCCAAGCAAGATTACTGGAGTGGGTAGCCATTCCTGACCCAGGGATCAGACCCAGGGATCAAACCCAGGTCTCCTGCGTTGCATGCAGATGATTTACCATCAGAGCCACCAGGGAAGTAAGTTAGACCCTGAAGATATAGTTTAAGTTCTTTTTTAAAAAAAGGTTTCTAGACCTTCTGGCTGTATAGAGATGATGTAAAGGATGCTTTAAGAACACGGGACGGAGAACACATTTTTTGTTTCTGAATATAATGTGTCAAGGGGATGTAATCCCTGCTGTGCTTAAGTGACAACCTTTTTTTTGTAGCCTTGTGGCTACCCTCCACTTCCCTCTCAAGCTGAGGTGAAGGATCAGAATGTCCCTTCCCTCCAGAGGAGGACTCTCAGCTCGGACTGCTGCCTCAGGCCTCCAGAGCCCTTGGCCCAGTCCGGGCACAGTGGGCAGGTGACTGGGGTCAGCCTACACTTTCCAGACGTGCTTGCATCTAGTCATGCGTTAGGCGTCCCTGGTGACTGCTCACCTGGGTGGCTGTTCCTGTAGCCACAAAGCTCCACTCCACTGTGCTCCCGTTTGTGTGGCCAAGTTCCATCTAAACTGCACTCTTTTAGCCTCAAAAGTTTATTTTCAGCTGTCTTTGCAAAAGTAGCCATGTGTAATTGACTTCCTGTATCTAAATAGCATATTCAGGAGTGGAAGGGAAGACAGGACAAATTCAAAACGAAAGATTAAACCCTTGCAAGTGACTGCCTCTCCAATTCGCACGTGTTGCTTTATTATAAAGTACCTGTTAACTGATTATTTCTGATTGTTATATATGTTTAATGTGTTTCAAATGCCTGGGAGAAGGAGTCATGTAAAATTAGAAAACAGCGTTACAGGCCTCTTGGCTGTCCCTGCCACCTCCCTAAAGCTTCACTGACCTCATAAGATCCTTCAGAATGTCATTGGCTTCACTCTTGGCTTGAACATTGAAAATTTTAGCTGTTAGCCCTTCTGCTGCAACTCCTTAACTGCGTGTTTTTACCTATAGCTGGGAGCTCACATCGCCTTTTGGCTTCTCATAGGACGTGGAGCAGCCTTCAGAGGTGCTGGTCTGGCAAGATATTCTTGCCGCTGCTGGCACATCGTCTGTGGAGACTGATGCTACAAGTTCTGGTGCGGTACTCCAAATCTGTCAAGGAGGTGAGGGCTGGCTGGTGCTCATCCCTGATCAAGACCGAAATGAATTAAAGATAGGTTAAGTTAAACGTGCCAAGATTTGTAAAGCCCATGTGGTCATGAGAGGTTGATGCAAGGGCTATAGCCCAACTTCCCAAGTTTCTATCCTTTTCACTGGATTTCCTTTTCACTTTTGTTTATGTGACCTTTAGGGGCATCAGATGTCACATATTCATTGCTTTGTCTTTTTGAAAAGCACCACATTGGCCTCATTTTCCCTTAGGAAAAGCAGAATCTTTGGATGGTGCCTCCAATACAGAGACACCATAAAACAGATGATTATTTTAATGAAGATGATAAAAATATGCATATTTTTTCCTTAAAATTTGGAAATTGAAAAACACCAAGTGGCTGAGATTAGAAGGTGGTAAAATTGATTAACCTTGCCTTCGTTTCAGAAACCCTTTTCAGCTTGGCTGTATTAGGTATTCACATGCCCATGATGACTGATTAGTTTTTGTGCATAAAGCCACAGGAGCATTCATGTGGTCCACTGCTGAGCACCCGGCCCCACCAGGTCCACTCCAGGTCTCAGAGATGCCTGCTGCACAGACAGCTCAGTGATAGACACACACCCCGGCCAGTGCAAGGTGATGAGTATAAGGAAGCGTGAGTGGAAGTGTAGGAAAGATGACATGGAGAAGCCATCATCCATGGACACAGAAGCACTCTGTCAACTGGAGGAGACTGTTTCAGTGGAAAAAGCACAGGCTTCAAGTCAAAGTCAGACCTTGGCCCTGCTGCTCTTTAATTTTGTGGTCTTAAGGAAATTGGCTGAATCTCAGATTCTTCATCTGTAAAGTAGGAACACAGCTTCTACAGGTACTTGTTGTGAGGTGAGGAGTAAAGAGATTTCTTGCCCAGCAAACTGATGACGAAGGCGCCCAGCAGACAATGGTGCTCCATCCACGTTCCGCTCCTCCTCCTCCTTTGCCTCCCTCTATTCAGAGGAGTCTCAGTAGAGAACCCTGCCCTGTGAAACTGTTCATGAAGAGTGTGTAGTTCTTGGGACACTGTGGACTTGATATGATTCTGTGAGGCCTGGGCTTGCTTCATCATCCCCAGCAAGATGCCAGCCAGTGATTATTCTTACACCTAGAATATTTCCATTCTTTTCTCAATGCAAGTGCTCTTCTCTTAGGGTTTTTCCCTTGTAGCAATCCATTATGCAGAGAACACTTATGTCATTTGTATGATTTGAAGCATAATTGAGGTTGAGACTTTTATTTTTTACCCTTATGATAATAATTTATTAAGTAAATACAGTAAATTTTTTACCTCAAGCAGTTAATTAACTTTTTAAAACCTATGATGTTCCGGATCTTAATTTTCCTTTAGTTTCAGGACCTCTTGCTTTCTTTCTGGCTGTTACTTAAGTCAAGGAGAGGAAATACACATAGGGTCAAAGTTTGTCCTGTTTCTGTTTTTCACACCTACCTGGAGAGACAGGATGTGGTATCCTTTCTTGAGTTAACTTCACTTAATACTTTGTAGAAAGCTGGCATTTTGTGTTGAGTTACATGCTCATGTATCTTGCAGGTGGAAACATTTTATCGCTGAAATCCTTTTTCAGCTTTTACTCGGGCCCATCTCTAATGAAAGTGCTAAGGATATTAAAAAGCCTTTGGAAACTGGCAGCAAAGATCTTTCTATCACCCAAGGAAATTGCAAAGACCAAGCAAGTGGCCCTTCTAAAACAAAGCCCATTGTCTCCATTTCCAGCACTCAGCTTGTCTGTGTGGTGACAGACCTGGACAGGCTTCAGGAGCAGGTGAGCCTGTGTCGCAGAGGATTCTAAGTGTGGGGTTCAGTGTTCTCACTGTCTGGCCTAATGGGTTTAGACTTGTGGGCCCAGGGCCCCTGAGAGAGAGCATCCTTTTCCCTCCCTCTGGTGTTGCCTCCACCCCTGACTGGCATGCTGTCCTCCTTGGGGAGCAGCCTGTCTACCACATGCCTGCCTGGAGCCCTGGCTTCCCCTGAGCAGTGACGCCACAGGCCAGGGCAAGCCAGGCCCTCATTAGCTCAGCTCACCCTGTGGAGCCACAGTCTTTAATGGGTTGGATTCTAATTACCTCTAGTCTATTTACCCAGTACTTATACTTTAAAAGTGCTGAACTATTAAAACGTCTTCCTGTGTCCTCCACGTAGGTTTCATGTTCTTGCTTTTACCATTAACAGAACTTTGTTTAAGAACAGAATGTGTTTAAGTGCTGTGATACATAATTCTGCTTTTTTCAGTTTTAATTGTTTTGTGGTGCTTGGACAAATACTATATGTGTTGAGCAAAAACATGGTCTTTATCATAAGGTTTTTTTTGGTATTGAGGGGAGCTACAGAATAGTGTTAATAGCCGTGAAAATACGATTTTCCATGTTGTTGAATTATTTTCTACTGAAAGCATTAAAGAAAAATTTTGTTTTCTTGTGATGAAAGTTACTGAAAGTTCCGAGTTTAGTTTTATCATTAATTAATAACAGTCTAGAGTTGTAGGTCCATATAGAATTGTCTCTTCCTTTGATTAATAAAAAGTAACTGAATATATAAAGTGTGTATTTATTTCAGCTTCCAGACCTCTTAGAAACAATCAAACCAAAACTTGAAGTGATGGGCTTTAAGAATTTTTCTTCCATCTCACGTAAAAATGAATCTTTAAGATTCAACACATCTTTGAATAAGAAATAACTTAAAATAGAATTTTAAAGACTAGGATATATATAATAGTTTTTTTCTAGTTGTAAATCCTTGGTTGTTTCTGTATTTTGTTCTGTGATTTTTAACTTCTTTGAATGAGATATTTTAATTCTAATAATTTGATTTGATTTGGTTTTTTGTATATATCGAGCCTATGCCCCACAACAAGAGGAGCCACTGCAGTGAGAAACCCGCACACCACTAGTTATGGCCCACGCTCACCCAAACTAGGGAAAAGCCCACACATGAACCCGACACAGCCAAAACTAAATACAATCGTTTTCCTAGAAAATGCATATTGGACAAAGAATTTTTACTCAAGTTGTCCAAGAACACTAGAGCAAACAAGCCCATTCATAACTGGTAAAGATTGAAATAGACACCTGGCCATGGAGGGTATACTGATAGTAAACTCTCCTACAGAAACATACTCAAGATACTGGTGGGATGCATGCACGGCCCCCTTTGGAAGACAGTCTGACAGCTTTTTCAGTAACCACATGGGGCAGGCACTGAATTCCATACGTCACAAGTGGTGGAAGCCAGGTATCTTACCACTGGTGTGGGAAGTTACGGATAAACAAAAGGAAAGGTTACAAGATCCATGGAGATAGCATCACAAATTACCTTTAACTGAATATGTTCAAAGGTAAGGTAGAATACATGTATGTATCTCCAAGTATTGTCAGGTGAGCATATTTAGCTCCTACATGTATGTTTTAAATATGATTCTCCAGTGAAAGGGAACAGGAAATGTCCCTGGTGGTCCGGTGGTAAAGGATCTGCCTACCAATGCAGGGAACACGGGTTCAGTCCCTGATCCTAGAAGATTCCACATGCCCAGGGGCAACAAAGCCCCCATACAACTACTGAAGTACTTGCATGCTCCAGAGCCCAAGTTCTGCAACCAGAGGAAGTGCTGCAATGAGAAGCTGGGCTCCTCTTTTCATGGGAATTTTCCAGGAAAGAGTACTGGAGTGGGTTGCCGTGCCCTCCTCCACGGGATCTTCCCAACCCAGGAATAGGATTCCTGCGTTGGCAGGTAGGTTCTTTACCACTAGCACCACCTGGGGCAAAAGTGCCTAAGTGGAGATAGGGAAACCCAGTTAGGAGGAGGGACTCAGAGGAAAGGAAGTGAGGGAAGGAGATGGAGACTCTTAGTCACACTCAGAGAAGCCTGGCAGGTAGTTCTGCAGGTGGAAGAGGAGGAAGCAGGCTGGAGCTGTGTAGAAGATGAAAGAGGGAACTAAAGCAGGGGCCCCCAACCTCTAGGATCTAATGCCTGATGATCAGAGGTGGAGCTGATGAAATAATACTAGAAATAAATGTTCAGTCACTGAGCCGTGTCCAACCCTTTATAGCCCACCAGGCTGCTCAGTCCGTTGAATTCTTCAGGCAAGAATAATGGAGTGGGCTGTCATTTCCTTCTCCAGGAGATCTTGCCAACCCAGGGATTGAACCCGGGTCTCCTGTGTTGCAGGCAGACTCTTTACCAACTGAGCCACCAGGGAACAGAAAGAGAAATAGAGTGCACAATAAATGGCCTGCACTTGAAACATCCCAAAACCTACCCCCACCACTGTCTGTCAAAAAATTGTCTTCCAAAAAAACTCCCTAGGTCAAGGAAGGAACTTCAAGTGTACTCAGCTGTCCCAGATTGCTGACTTAGGGGTGTCCCAAGAGATAGAACCTCCCTTGTGTGGGGTCCTCAACAGACCTCCTTGGTGATGAACAGAGAGATTCGTGTCATTTTTAAAAATATATACTTGTGGGATAAACTTAAAACTTAGCAATTCTCTTACAGTCTTCCTAATAAAAATTTTCTTTCTTCACTGATCTGTGAAGTACCAACTGTGACAATCACTGTTCTAATATACCTCATAGTGTTGCTGACACTACAGATATAATTATGTGTAATTGAACTTATTCAATAAAAATTATGAAGCATCTGCCCTGTGCCCAGCACTTTCCAAGGGTTGGGGAGTACAATGAAAATACTCCATAAGATGCACAGCTGGTAGGCACATTCTTTAAAAAAGCCTTTTACATTTCCACAAATAGTTTATTCTCAATGTCAACACTTGCCAGTTAATGACCATGCTGGGTAGGAAGCTGATTAAAAACCCAGGAGCCAGGGTTCCTGGAAGGATATCCCATTCTCCCTTGGACAGTCCTCCACCCTCACTGGCTCTCAGTTTCCTCATCTGCAAAAGTACGGACAACTGACAATTCATCCCTGGAACTCAAGCCTATTGAGGGGGAGGGGAAGTATTACTCCAAGGCCTGGATGATAGACCAGATTGAAAGAAAAATATGTCATTGCTGGTTTTCAGTCAAACAGACAAATACAATGAAGGAAGGAGCCCCTGGCCCTGCGGGATTTGCCTAGGGATATAGTCTGGGAAATTCTTACACATCAGGAGATGGCTCCGAGCTGGATTTCCACAAACAAGAACATCCATGCAAAGGACAAGCCTGCAGAGCTCTGCCCGCCAGCCACAGGAAGAGCCTGCCTCCCGACGGCCAGCGGCGTTTACAAGTGACCTCCTAAGGCCGTCACCAAACTACAGGGGCACCTCTGGGTTTTCTGTTCCCCTCACTTTTCTGACCCTTTTCTTTGAAAAACGCACATTTCTTCATAGAATGCCACAGTGGAAGGAAAATAGGCCTTCAAGTTTGAGACCTCAATTTGCAAAAGACTTGGAGCTTGTTTTGTTTTTTTTTTTGTTGTTGTTGTTGTTTTTTAATTAAATCACCGCATAATTAAAAATTTTTACATGTTCTAATTATTCAGTTCCAAAACACCAAACTTATGGCACAGGGTCCCCATGGAAAGGCCCTCTCTCAGCAGTACAGCCACAGATTCCCCCATGAAAGGGCAGCAGGGTGCCCTCCTCCCTTCTTTTCTGCCTGGGTGGCTGCCAGGTTTTTTAAATCCATGCACCTTACTAAGTTTCTAGGGTGCAATTCGCGGACCATTCCCTTTCCCATCCCAGCAGGTGATCAACAGCCCGCTGGCCTACAAAGTGCTGGAAGCAGGGCTGGGCCAGCCGGCCAGACTAAGGGTTGTGGAGTCTCAGCAGGTGAAATCACCAGGCAGGATAAATCACGTGGACTTTCAGCAGGCACTAGGCTGCTTGGGAAAACCGCCAGGGTCTGAGCTCTATGCAAAGGGGTAAAGCGGTAAAGGCCTTGACTCCAAGGCGAGGCCTTTCTGCGAAGGCCAGGTTAGGGGGCTCCAAGACTGTGCCAACAGAGAGGGCAGAATACGTGGTTCCCTGCTCCACCGAGCCCCAGTTCCCTCACCTGTGGTCCACACTCCTGCGCTCCACTCACTGGCTGCCCGTCTATGGGGACCCAGGAGCCCACAAAATGGGTGTTCCCAGCTGCAATGGCACCCCTGAGAGCACAACTGGGACTCTCCCCTGCCCCGCCCAGCGCCCGGTTGCGACCTGCCCCCACACCCACTTCCAGGAGAGGCGCGGGGATACTGCTGCCAGGTGAAACACAATGAGGAGCAAATCCACCCCACAGAGACAATTCAAGCTTTTTATCAGCTGATCTGTCTATAATTTAGGGATAAATCTATGACTACGGGAAGGAAAGATGACCTGACCTAGGAACCTTGTTTTTGTTTTTGTTTTTTTTTTCCCCCCCTTGGAAACCCTAAAGCTGGTTCTTTTGCATATCCAATTAAAAGCAATTAACTTGTTACAAAGGTCTGCCTAGGGCAAAGCTTGAAGTTAATCCTTTCCGTGGCCCTGCAGGACTTCCCTGGTGGCTCAGGTAGTAAAGCGTCTGCTTAGAATGTGGGAGACATAGGTTTGATCCCTGGGTTGGGAAGATTCCCTGGAGAAGGGAATGGCAACTCACTCCATTATTCTTGCCCCCCCCAAAAAACAAAAGAAAAAAACGAACTCAAAGAAATATTTTTTTAAATTAATTAATTTATTTTACTGTACAACATTGTGTTGGTTTTGCCATACATTGACTTGAATCCGCCATGGGTGTACATGTGTTCCCCATCCTGAGCCCCCCTCCCACCTCCCTCCCCATCCCATCCCCCTGGGTCATCCCAGTGCACCAGCCCCGAGCGTCCTGTATCATGCATCGAGCCTGGACTGGTGATTCGTTTCACATATGATAATTTACATGTTTCACTGCCTTTCTCCCATATCATCCCACCCTCGCCCTCTCCCAGAGTCCAAAAGACTGTTCAGTACATCTGTGTTTCTTTTTTCGGGGAGGGGGGGCTTTTTACTTTTCATTTATTTATATTAGTTGGAGGCTAATTACTTTATAATATTGTAGTGGTGTTTGCCATACATTGATATGACTCAGCCATGGATTTACATGTGTTCCCCATCCTGAACCCCCCTCCCACCTCCCTCCCCATCCCATCCCTGTGGGTCATCCTAGTGCACCAGCCCTGAGCACTTGTCTCATGCATCAAACCTGGACTGGTGATCTGTTTCACACTTGATAATATACTCAAAGAAATATTTTAAATCTCAGGCAGAAAACTAGAAGATCTCTGTCTGTCTGTCTGGATTTATGTATGTCTCAGTGTGAGTCTTCTGTTATTTGATAATATTGCTGAAGTTGTCAGTTCTTATTGAAATGGTCTAAAGAAAAGGAAGCCCNAAAAAAAAAAAAAAAAAAAAAAAAAATGACCTAACTGAATTTCAGATTCACGTGAACTGGGAAATAGTCAACATTAAAAATCTAGTACTTTTTTTCCCGCTGCTCTACTATAGGCATGTCTAAGAGTCATTAACATTAAACACAAAATTTTCATAGTGCCTAGGTTTATTATAAGTTAAAAATTGCTATATTGTTTTATCTGTCACAAGCTTGCAAACAAAGACAGTACCTCTAAAAGCAACAAAGAAAACTCCTAAAAATTGTAATGTGATATGAGCTTTTAGATAAACTATTAACAATAATTATACTCTAAAATATCTGTCTATAATAGTCTCAATTGAAGGCAGAGGAGAAGGGGACGACAGAGGATAAGATGGCTGGATGGCATTACTGACTCCATGGACATGAGTTTGAGCAAGCCCCTGGAGGTGGTGATGGACAGGAAAGCCTGGCATCCTGCAGTCCATGGGGTCACAAAGAGTCAGACGCGACTGAGCAACTGAACTGAACTGAACTGAACTGAACTGACGATGGTTTCTCCAGATTTTGGTTACCTGAGTTTCTATCGTTGTGCTAAACTAAGTGATGACAGTGTATTGAATAGCTAGGTCACTGCCAAATAAAGTAAGGTTCTGAAACATTCACTACTTGACAGGACCTTCCTCTTACACAGAAACTAAAGAGAGTTTTGACTATCCATGAATAGTCATGCCACCAGAGGTGCCATCCTGAGATATTCAGTGTAAGCAATTTTTTTTTTTTATATATTATCACTGATACATATAGTTACCAATCTATAGAATGCCAATATAAAAGTCAGTTCTTAAAGAAAAAAAAAAGTCAGTTCTTGGTTGCTTAAGGAAAATGTATGACTTGTTATTAAAGAAGGTATGAGGAATGAAATCACATTTGATGAAGGAAAACGAAGTAGTTCTGACTTACAGGTGGCAGTTTCAGGATGGGAGAAGCAAAGGAATGGGTACAGAATGGGATAGGGAGGTTTTATGGAAAGTGGACTCCCAAAAAAGTGTTTTGTGCCTAGCACAAGTTTTCTTAAGATGTTGAGCTGCCTTTGCTAATGGATTTTAAATTTCTTTATCTCTTAAGTGATCTGTTCTAGGTTTACCTTTGAAATCTTTTGTTAACTTTGGCTAAGTGGATAAGTATTGTTTCACAGTGACTTATGTTATCCTACCAGACTGTTATAAACCCTTTTAATATTTATGAACACACCTTCCTAAGTAATTGACTTTTAGCTAACTTTGGGATGCTTCAGAGGGTCCCTGAGACCCCGCAAAGAGAGATATTAAACAACCTGAGTTCATTTGGCATGTTAAACTACATGGGAAATGCTGTCAGAAGGAGTGATGGATCTTCCCAAGTTATATTATATGGTGGATGTTACTGTAAGCTATAGTTAGGGTCGAGGCAGAAGAGAAGGAGAGAGAGATGGCATTTGTAGTTGAGCAGGGGGTGATAAGTCCCAGATAGATACAAGTGGCCTGGAGCCTCAGGGCGGGACCTAGAGTTCCGTTTTGTTTTCTCCGAAGTTAGATGATTCAGCAAGGGCCTGTGAGACTGTTGTTTTCTTTTCTAGGCCCAAAGATTCCTTCAGTTACTAACATAGGTATCCTCGAAATTATGTGACATCCATAAAAATCTGATATGTCCTGGTTAAATGCTGTCAGTTCTAATTCTAGTTATCATATTAAAGTGTTTCAAGTCACAGCAGTGACCAGACTACTTTGTCAATTTCTATCTAATCAGGTTTTAAACATGTCTTCTATGGTTTCACATAGATGCCTTTGCAAAAATGCTGCTAATTCAAATTATATGTGGAAAAGACTTTTCTAAGATTACTCGTAAACAATTTTTTTTGTTTGTTTGTTATCTGGTAAGCTTGTACCAGGCTGGAATTTAGTCTCCTCTCTACATTAAGAGAACAAAGTTTTCTTAGAATGCAGCTTTCAATCACAGATGATGAATTTCTTTACCTTTCGGTGACTTATATTTGTTTTTATCATCTATTTCTTACTTCAGTAAAGTAAATTTTTTAAAAAAGTAAATAAAAGTAAAGTTTTTCCAGAAAAACATCTATTTCTGCTTTATTGACTATGCCAAAGCCTTTGACTGTGTGACTCACAATAAACTGTGGAAAATTTTGAAAGATATGGGAATACCAGACCACCTGATCCACCTCTTGAGAAACCTATATGCAGGTCAGGAAGNTATATTGTATTGTTGATGATACTAATATAGATATCCTAGAAATTATGTGACATTCATGAAAATCTGATGTGTTCTGGTAAAATGCTGTCAGTTATAATTCTAGTTATCATAGTAAAGTGTTTCAAGTCACAGCAATGACCAGATTACTTTGTCAATTTCAATTTAACCAGGTTTTAAACATGCCTTCTATGGTTTCACACTGATGCCTTTGCAAAAATACTGCTACTTCAAGATATATGGAAAGTACTTTTCTAAGTTTACCCATAAGCAATTTTTTTTTCTTTGCTATCTAGTAAGCTGGTACCAGACTGGAATTTAGTCTACTCTCTAGGTTAAGAGAACGGTTTTCTTAGAATGCAGCTTTCAATCACAGATTATGAGTTTCTTTACCTTTCAGTGATTTATATTTGTTTTTATAATCTTTTGTTGTTGTTGTTGTTGTTACTTTGATAAAGTAAATAACCATTATTTAAGATTATGGTACATGTAGGATGGACCAAGCTTTCCCCGCTCCTACAAATTCTCTTAACCGCTCATATTCTTCTGATGGGACCAAGGTCTCACTTCCCTCCAGAGGGACAATCCAAGCTTTTTATCAGCTGATCTGCCCCTGACATCAGAGTCAATTTGAGCACTATTTGGTCTATAATTTAGGCATATTTGGTCTATAATTTAGGCATGAAACCATGACTACATAAAGGAAAGATGACTTTTTGATGCAGGATGGCCATGATATTCCTTGGACTTCAGAGAAAATTGGTTAAAATGAAACTTTTTTTCCTTGGAAACTGCAAAGCTGGTTCTTTTAGCATATGCAATTGAAAACATCTAGGTTGTTAGGTCAGTTTTCATTCCAGTCCCAGAGAAAGGCAATGACAAAAAGTGTTCAAACTGCCACACAATTGCACTCATCTCACACACTAGTAAAGTAATGCTCAAAATTCTCCAAGCCAGGCTTCAACAATACATGAACCGTGAACTTCCAGATGTTCAAGCTGGATTTAGAAAAGGCAGAGGAACCAGAGATCAAATTGCCAACATCCACTGGATCAAGGAAAAAGCAAGAGAGTTCCAGAGAAACATCTATTTCTGCTTTATTGACTATGCCAAAGCCTTTGACTGAGTATATCACAATAAACTGGGGAAAATTCTGAAAGAGATGGGAATACCACACCATCTGACCTGCCTCTTGAGAAATCTGTATGCAGGTCAGGAAGAAACAGTTAGAATTGGACATGGAACAACAGACTGATTCTAAATAGGAATAGCAATATGTCAAGGCTATATATTGTCACCCTGCTTATTTAACTTATATGCAGAGTACATCGTGAGAAATGCTGGGCTGGATGAAGCACAAACTGGAATCAAGATTGCTGGGAGAAATATCAATAACTTCAGATATACAGATGACACAACCCTTGTGGCAGAAAGTGAAGAAGAATTAAAGAGCCTCTTGATGAAAGTGAAAGAGGAGAGTGTAAAAGCTACCTTAAAGCTCAACATTCAGAAAACTAAGATCATTGTATCTAGCCTCATCACTTCATGGCAAATAGATGGGAAAACAGCGGAAACAGTGGCAGACTTTATTTTTGGGGGCTCAGAAATTATTGCAGATGGTGACTGCAGCCATG